CCTGTTAATGTACACGTAGCTACAGATGTACATGAAGAGGGATACCACAGGCCTTTTCTATCCCCGAACCTGTTAATGTACACGTAGCTACAGATGTACATGAAGAGGGATACCACAGGCCTTTTCTATCCCCGAACCTGTTAATGTACACGTAGCTACAGATGTACATGAAGAGGGATACCACAGGCCTTTTCTATCCCCGAACCTGTTAATGTACACGTAGCTACAGATGTACATGAAGAGGGATACCACAGGCCTTTTCTATCCCCGAACCTGTTAATGTACACGTAGCTACAGATGTACATGAAGAGGGATACCACAGGCCTTTTCTATCCCCGAACCTGTTAATGTACACGTAGCTACAGATGTACATGAAGAGGGATACCACAGGCCTTTTCTATCCCCGAACCTGTTAATGTACACGTAGCTACAGATGTACATGAAGAGGGATACCACAGGCCTTTTCTATCCCCGAACCTGTTAATGTACACGTAGCTACAGATGTATATGAAGAGGGATACAACAGGCCCTTTCTGTCCCAGACACTGTTAATGTACACGTAGCTACAGATATACATGAAGAGGGATACCACAGGCCTTTTCTACCCCCGAAACTGTTAATGTACATGTAGCTACAGACAATTTCGAAAGCTCGCAAAACAAGTTTTCAATCCCTATTTGTAATCAAAACAAACTTAGCCTTTAGCTGCTACGTGTTAACTGAGACCAAACAAAACAGGGACTTCAACATAATAATTATAAAACCTTACAATCACAAATAATTTGGCTACTTCACTTTGACATCCATTCTTGATTTCCGTTCTCCAGATGAATGCATGACATTCTACAGTTTCAATAATGCATTTGGATCGAGCAAACCTTTGGAAATTTTATTGACACCCTTTCCCTCTGTTCATTTCACACATATATAAGAGGAATGGCTATTAAACCAAAAGCTATGAAATAATACGTTTAAGGATCCCTGTCCGACTGCATTGTAGTTTTCCATATAAACAGTAACCTCCCTTTAACTTCCGTTTGGATAATAACGGTAGCACAGTTGGGTCAGGACTGGGTCAACTGGTATGAGCGATAGTATATTAACTTATTCACCCGTGAAATTTTATTATGAACTATTCTAACCTTTGAACTGGAAGAGTTCAAATGTGTCTTCAGGGGTGAATGAGTTAACATGAAATCCAGGGTTCGAATCCCGGTCTATCCTCGCTGATTTCTTTATTCGGTACACTGTTGTTGATTACATTGAGTTTTATTTCGTCTTTATTATTTCTGATAACAGTCCTGCAAGGTATGGTTTTCTATTCAGAAATGATCTATCAAAGCTAAAAACATGGCGGTAAAAACAGTTTGCAGCACTTAGTTACTGTTTCCGGCAGTGGTACGAGGGTCTTTAAGAAAGAAAAGTTCGAGGAGTATAATGAACGCGTTGGATCTATGAGCATGTCGAGACTCTAAGACAAACAGTTTGACGGAAGTGAAAATAAAACTGACAACCGATTTCCTCGTCTTCCATTAACGGCAGTCTGAGAGAGAAAGGTTGATAATAGGAAAAAATTGTTCTAGAGGTATTTTTTAGCATTTTTTAGTAATTATTTATCTAAATACAGAGGTTCCCTTATATTTTCGATATTATTGTTTTCGTCAGTACAAACGAGATTCATTGAACAGCATCACGTCAACAAAATGTTTGATTCGAGCAGTCGTCTCTTGTTATTCGAGGCGGGGGATAAGCTTCATAATGACGCTGATCAAATTGCGTCCATAGCTCTATGAATGGAATTTCTTCCGGTTATGCGTATAGAAGAAATTGCAGTGGAAATGTTAACATAATATTCTATTCGTTACTGAAATATCATTTAGAGGACCATCAACCTAAACATGAATTAGTTGTACCTTGTTTTGTGCGAAAATTTAAACAGACAAAGATTTCTCCAGCGGTAGTATTTTAGCTTAATAGTTTAGAGTTTTTGAATGTTATTGGCAAAATACACCATGATACTGCCCCTACCACACAAACACATATATAAAACATAAAAAAAAATGATAAAAGTCATTAATAAGAAGTTTAACCAAAATATCAACTAAGACTGTTGCTGTGTGGCAAAAATTATATGTTTGAATTTAAATTCTGTTTGGTGAAGGATGATGGGGTGGTAAACGTATTTTAAAACACTTTGCGAGAGTATTGAGTAAGTGTTTTCTGTAATCTGTAGATCTATGAGAAAAACAATGTTTGAACTGAAATTTCGTTTTGTGTAGGAAGGGGGAAGTTCTTTCAATACATTATGTGAGTGTGTTGGATATGTGTTAGCCGTAATCTGTTGATGTAGAAGGTTGTCTTTTATTTTAGTTACATGTTGAGTAAATTAATTCTGATGTTTTTCCTGTGATAACGCCGGAAACATAACGATGACGCCGGTAAGCTTGAAGCCCACGTGTTCTCGGACAATCTCGCGATATCAGAGATGACCCTCAGATGACATCACCGCGGCAGACTGACGGCTCATCTCGCGCGAACAAGCCCATGATAGATCATCTCGGCGAAACGACAGTTTGATGTTAATCGTTTTCGTATCTATCATACTCGTCTAGACGACGGCACGGTCAGAGGGGGAAATAAATGTCGTCGTCATTCCACAAGTGGTATTGGTTCGTTTAAAGGGAGGCAACCGTTGCAACGCCTCATGTAAAAACATAGACGGGTCGAAGCATTATTTACAATGGATATAAAAAAAATAAAAAAATAAGAACGTTTGAGAAATGTAGAAAAGGTGTGAATTTAAGGACAATTCAGTATATGAATTATTTGAGGTATAGGATGGACACCAAAAAGGTTCTAGAAATGCTTTCTACTACAATAAAACCTTGATATAATGCCACTCATTTCGTTTGCCACCTCGTTTACCGCCAACAAATGTCATATCCATTTTTCTCGTTTTCTTCAGAATTTCTTTATACCTTCCCCTTAATTTATCGACAACCCGTTAATAGTGCCTTATTTTTTCGGGACAAATGGTGGCAGTATAATGAGGTATTATTGTATATTTATTGACTTAATAGCCGTCCCTGAAAGAGACAGGGGCCGCGTTGGCGAAGTGGTGAAGGCGTCTGATATTCTGCAACCACTAGCCCTCCACCACTGGGTCGCAGGTTCGAGACCTACGTTTGGCAGTCGCCAGGTACTGGCCGTAGGTCGCAGGGTTTTTCACCGGGACTTTTTTTCACCACCAAAACCTGGCACGTCCTTAAATGATCAAAGCTGCTAATATGACGTAAAACACAAACAAAACCAAAACCGGGAAGACACAGATACTAATAATACTCAGCGTTTAGTCGATAAATCTTGCCAAGGCCTTAAAATAAATGATGTTCACTTCTAACTGTCGAACTTTATCGATATATACGACAGTAGGTAGGGATAATGAAATAATTTACCTCGCCATTCAATAGGTGTATCTATGCATTACTCTAATTTACAGGTCATTACCTAAAATGAAAGGATATTTCGAAGGGATTAAAAACTCAGCCAAATTATCTGACATATCGCCTGCTGCTTCCTGATAGCGGAAAAAAATGTGACAGTCATGCTTTAAAAAAAAAAGCAAAACTCAGCGGGTAACTATATTGGAACGTGACCTGGTGCTGATGAAAAGCAATGTATTTTTAATGTATTTAATGTTTTAAGATAGATACAATAATTACTTAAAATACATATGTTTTTATGGTTTGTCGGTATCAGGAAATGTTGCTGATTTAGCTTGGACACTCTACAGTGAAAGTCATCAAGCCTGTCCTGCGTATCGCTTGCATACTTCGTCTATATATATATAATGCATTGAAAACGATTTTTTTATGTATATCTGATATGTAATTATGATTTTATTGCCCGGATATCATAAATTTGTTAGGTCGACAATAAATCAGGCAGAACTAAAATCTATTTACGACTTGCATAGGTCTGTGTCATTAAAACGCTTGTGCCTCGTGTCAATATAACTGCTGTGTTCATTTATGACTCCTTGACCTGTACGATTTAAAATTGAGTAAATACATTGCAACACTAAATGGTTTTTCTTGGAAGGTAACGAGGATATACTGTATAAGTTGGTATCAGGCCCAACACAACACGCATGCTTGTATGCTTGATTGACAATCCCGGAAATCAGAGTAAGAAATTCGTGTTTTTTGTTTTAAAACTTTTTGCAATAAATGTTGTTTATTTTTTTCTAAATATTCACATAATGCTTGCACTGTTTATGCTTGACGTGTGGACGGTGATACGCGGATATTAGCAAAAGACTGCTGATCGGAATTAAATAATTCCTGAGAGCTGAGGATATTGCCGTGGACATCCCTGTCAATGTTGTGTGTTATGGATTACTTTGGCCTTGTGCTTCTGATGCTGTACGCAGCGGGAACCGGGGCGCAGTATAATCCCAATCATGGTAAGCTAAAATGACCAGAGAAGTAGAATAGAACAAAAAATAGAGGCGACCCTAATATTTGCAACTCGAAACGACATCTATTTACAAAATTTACCTCATCGTTCAAATTTTGTTTTGCTGGGGGAAAAAAACCTTCTGATATTTATGTTAACAAAAATAAAAGAAATTGATGCGAAAAAAATGCATTTAAGTTTGTCAATGCTTAATGAAACACAAGAGTGTCCATCTAACTTTGATTAAGTCAACGTTTAGCGGTTTTTTAGTTTCCTCAATGATACCGTGTGTCTAACAGTTGTATCTGAGATATATTATGTCTTAGTTTTCTAAGTGATAAAGTGTGTCTTATCTGTGTTATAAAGTTTCTTAGTTTTCTCCTTAATATCTTGTGTCTTAGCTTTCCTTGTGATATCAGAATCATACATTTCAACATTAAAATAGGTGTTAAGAAATTAACATTACTTGATTGTCCCACCATTCAGGTTTCTTTCCGTTTGTTTTTATTTTAGCACATCGTCAATGTACCAGGTTGAGTCACATGCCGTGCTGTCCCCATGGTTACCCCATGCCACGTATCCGCTGTCCAATGGCACGATGTCCTCCGGGTTTCTCGTGCCACACCCACGTGGTAAACAGATGGGGGGTCTGTTGCCGGGCTACTCTCACGATTAACCAGATACGCAATACGGTTAACCGGAACACAGGTAAGTGTCAAGGTCAAGTAAAGGTCAAGGTTAAATAAAGATCAAGGAGAAGCAGTTTTGCACAAATACATGTTGCATACATTTGATTACGGGTCAAACAAAGGTCAAGGTTACGTAAAAATAATCGCCTAGTGGGAAGACATTGGGTGGTTAATTTTAATTTTCATTGAAATTCTAATTGTTTTTTTTGTAACAATTTTTACTTTTGAGAACATTTGAAATGCAGTGTAATTTTACTTAGCCGATGTTACTAAGAGCAACATGTCCCTATTCGAATATTACAACGTGCAGATAAAAACCAGAGAGAAGCTAAGAAGCTATACAATGATACAACAGGACACTATTAAAGTCACATATGTCAGTAACGTTTTGTTTCTGTGTATAAAATTGCCAGGCATTGCCCGCCAGATGCCCAGCGTTGCCGGACCGATGCCCGGTGTTATGCCTACATGTACAAGACAGAGTAATCTCCCCTGCTGTCAGTATGGTCAACCGGTGGGAGGAATTGACTGTCAGGTCCGGCGATGTTCGACTGGCACCACGTGCTTTACCCACACGACTGGCCAATGGGCAGTCTGCTGTCCGATGTCCCAACAGCAAACGTCCAGGACAGGTATAGAACGGATATTTAACTTCTCGTCCATGTCCAGGAAAATCATATTAAGTTACTTTTTTACAGGGGACAATGAGGCGCCTCAAAATTTCCCCTGATAAATAGCATTGCCTGTTCCTATAATGCACCTATGTACCAATAATAAACGTTGTTAACTTTAATTGAAATTCATGATAAGAGCAAATTTAAAAGTCAAGGTATGATTATTATTATTTTTAATTTTTAGTAAAAATTATAATGATTTTAAATAAGTCCATTCTAAAAGTAGTATCCATATTTGACAGGCTTGAAAACTTTGTGTTAAAACACGTCAATCGCATTTTGTACAGTTACCACAAGTTCAGCCTGTCCGTCGTATTATGTTGTTGTCATAAAAATTAAACATGGCCATGCTGCACCGTTATAATGTCTCCGATACATGTAGCAGATGTATACGACAATGATTCAACAGACGATGACTCATATTGAGGTTTACATCATATAAATGTCTCGTTAAAAGTGTACAAGGTCCGTGGGTGAGTGTCACCTTTCAGTTCCAGGTTGACAACACAGGGACCTGCGAATAAGACGTTTTTCAAGGTTCAGATAGTTTGTTAGGGTGGCATTTTATTTATACAAAATTTGATTTTACACTTCTAAAACGAATTATAGTACCTTAAATACATCAGTTTAGGTGCAACATTATAGCTAACTGTAGCAAATTCTCAAGTCCCTGTGGTTGACAAGGGCATATTTACATCTATAAAAAAAAATAGTTTCTCCTTTGAACCGTCGATAAAGACACTTAATTATACTATATGTCCGATTGTATACTGTGAGATTAGATTGTAGATGGTGACATAACATTGTACACTGTAACATTACATTGTATACTGTGACATTATATTGTATACTGTGACATTATATTGTATACTGTGACATTACATTGTATACTGTGACATTACATTGTATATTGTGACATTACAATATACACTGTGATATTACATTATATACTGTGACACTACATTTTACACAGTGTCATTAAGGATCCATATGCCACTGCCAAAAACTATACCTTTGGTTTTAAACCTTTTTTGTGTACCACACTACCTTGGATAAATCATATCGTTATGGAAAAACATACACTGTGAATCTGGGGAAAATGCTGAAGATGAAAATAGCGAAATATAATCAACAACATTGTGCTGATTGTAACAAATGCAAGGAGGTCAGACCAGGATTCGAACCCTGGACCTCAGATTGTTATCCTTTCGTTATTTCCAACTGAGCTACCTGTTCAACGGAAGTGCCTCGGCCCAATTGCACTACAGGTATACCCATAACGAAAATAAGGGTGATTACTCTATATACCAAAAACTACGGTACAAGTCTCTAGCGTGTATCTACAGAGGAACAAGGATCCTTAATATCGGGACAACACTATTTATTCAATCATTTATCACTATTACCATTTTCCAGTTGTGATGGTTGCCGGTCCCATGGGTATCGGTTCCCCATCACCAGTGATGATTGCCGGTCCCGGGTTCAGTCCCGGCGCCGCTCCTACTGGTCCAACCATTCCACAGGAGACACAGATTATCAATATGTCCCCATCGTCATGTTCCTCTAGCAGTCCGACCGCCTGCTGCCCAAATGCCATGCCCATTCCGGGGTCAAACTGTCGATTCGAAGCTTGTCGTTCAGGATCCACTTGTAACGTGCACGAAACAGATGCATGGGCTGTCTGCTGCCCCGCCCCCAGACGTGAGTATTGCGTTTATACGTTAGCAGAACCTGGGATGTAAATATACATACGTTCCTGATAGGACAATTAATGTCTTTTTTTTCTTCTTTTGCCATTAACTACAATTAAGTACATGTATACAGGCGTAAACAAAAACCTGACCTGAACGCCGTACATACTCGCCGATGTATTTAATTTTTTCTTAACTTGAAAATGGTATCGCTTCTGTCTTATTTATTTTTTATTGCATTCTACCATTCAGTATCACATATCATGAATAACGCTGCAAGGGTAATTCGTAAATTCAATGTATCCTATCAGAACGACAAATAGAACCTAGGCCAACCAGTTGCAGCCGGACGAATAACGTCGCATGCTGTGAGGCAGGTCAGCCCCTGACTGGGATTCAGTGTCGCGTGCAGGCCTGTCCCCCCGGGTACTTTTGTAACTCCCACTTTAACAACCGTTGGGCCGTGTGCTGCCAGGGTCCTAATACAGGTAACTTTTAACTACGTTTACATAGTTCAACAATCGGGAACCATCGGTTCTCGTTTAAGAAAAGTGCCGACGGTTCCCGAATGATGCTACCTGCTGTACCAATCTTTTTACTGGGCTGCCAGGTTATATGATATGCCTAATAACGTCATCACTATCATGGGTATTGCTACTATTAATTACCTACTAAGCTATTTTTGGCAAGTTATACAACCTGAGCAGGTTATAGAAAGTATATAAGCGTCAGCTTATTTTCTACAAGAAACATAATTAAAGATAGTATTCTTGAGTTTGATGTTTGTAACTGTTACATAAATGTACTAAGAAAGATAACTCCTTCATATTAACCTGTTTCTGCCCAACAGTTGTAACGCCACAGACTTGCAGCGTAAACGATGCACAAGCGTGCTGTCCACGAGGCGCGATTGTTCACGGGACTCAGTGCCGGACACGCCCATGTCTAAGTAACCAGTTCTGCCATTCAAACCCGGAGGGCCGATGGGCTGTGTGCTGCCTAGAAAGTTCCGCAACTCCGCCAGGTAACACCAGAATGGCTCGAGAATTGTTACGTAAAATACCTTAACTTCTCTCCGACGTTTGTATACGCAGCGTTAGACTTATGTTGTTTAGTTTTCAAGCTTTACTTTAAAAAAAATGTTTCTTTCTCAATTATTGTGTTTGGTTTCCAAAATGTCATTTTCGAAGCTATAATTAAAGAATACAAGAACATTGTAAATTCAGAAGTTAGAAATTAAAAATAAGAGCGATTGAATTGTTTTTAAAGTGAACTTTAGCCTTCGACCGTATTACCTTTATATACTTCAAATGTATATATTAAGTCCAGGCCTATATCAAGAGGCTAAACCAAAACACATAGGCCAGGCCAAAAGAAATCAGGCTTCGGTATCACAAACATTTTCTCAAATCTCCAGTTCAAATCTTACGATTTACCGCCAAATGGGTATCACAAAGCTGGTAACACTGAAGCTCCACTGAGTTTGCCAACGTAAATTTCCGCTGAACTCTTCACGCCAAAACCTTACTCAGTTGCATTTTAATCCGTCCAAAATGTCCAGGGGTTCTGCTCCCTTACGTAGTGTGCAGAAAATTCAAGGATAAGTATAACCATAGGCATCATGTCAGTGAATACCACCATTAATGTTGCGAAAAGTGAAGAGAACTAAAGAAAAATCAAAAGCCCAAGAATGGCGAAAGACGCTTTCAATTAGCTTAGCCCCGAATACGTGTAATCCGATTGGTCGCGATTCGGTCAAGTCGCACAATACTCTCAGCAATATAATGTAACACTGAGATATAAATGTAGCTTGAAATAAATTCTCTGATAATCGCTTTTAGGTATGCAGAAATATTTGTTTCATATTTTTATATAATGTTATACAATGTATATAGTTCGCGGGGATTAAAAATTCGCGCAACATTGCCTGTTTAAGATATTGTACTAATGTCTTTTTTGTATTTGGGTGATTAGCTTGTATCAAAATAACGTAAAATACGGTATTGAATTTGTGTTTCATTTCCATTATTCTGCAATAAAACGGCGAAATATCTCGCGCTGTCTTTGGTAACCGTAGATAAAGGGAAAATTAATCCTTCGTGAAAATTACCAACTGTGCAGTAACACACTTACGTGTAGTACGTCACAAGAAAGATAACTCTTACATCTCCTCATTCTAAGCAGGGGTACCGCCTGTCCCGATCCCAGGACCGCCCTGTACGGCCAGCAGTCCTACCCCGTGTTGTAGCCTGGGCGAGCCCCTCAACAGGGCCCAGTGTAGGACCAGAGGTTGTCCTGCGGGCTATACTTGTAATGGAAGCATGGCTGGTTGGACGGCCTGCTGCCCGACAGAATTACCACCAAGTACGTATAACTTAAATATAAACTTCAATTATTTTACAAAAAGTATGAAACAAGGTATTTGCACTTATATATGTCACTCTTGTTGACCCGGATGCTTTCGCATGAGGGCCTTAATGTTGGAGGAAGCCGAAGTACCCGGAGAAAACCCACGTTGTTTACCCTATACTTGTTCACGTCCGATCGGGGAATCGAGCCTCGGCCGTCTAGGTTAAAGGCTAGTGTGTTATCCATTGCGCCACCCAACCACCCGTATAACTTACAATACTGTTATCATTAAAGTAACATTATCAATGCCACTAGAGCCAACAAATGGTCGACAAAACATGTTATATGAAATGACGTCGAACGGGCGAAAAATATAAGAGGCGATGGTAAGCTATATATATTTTCGGAAGAGAACAACAGTTTTCACGAGGTCGAGAATTTTAAAAAGACATTAACTATTTAATAAAAAGATTCAAGATTTATTATATTTTCATAAACATTATCTAAAATTGGCTGAAGGTCATTGCAATTATGATAAGTGTTTAATGGTAAAACGTCCGTGACATGTTACGTGTACTTTGAGGTACGCTATAAATAGCATTGGTTCCAGTTCGTAGACAAAAAGATAGGTCTATTGAATCATTTAGAAAAAAAATAAACTCTAATAATTTTGTTCACTTAGATGTCTGATTCTAGAGTTCTAAACAAAGAGGAGATAAGCCAGAAGTAAAATGCAGCCAGGAAATTCTTCATAACAACTTAGGGGCTGGTAGCCAGTCTACTGTTAGAACAATTTTGAAAAATACCCACACTATCACATGATTCATTTGTATATGATATGATTGCAGCCCCGGTTCCAGCGATTATGCCCAACACGTGTTCTTCACAGAGTCCTCGCCCTTGTTGTAGAAGGGGTACCCCTCTCCAACAATGCCAGTTCGAGAATTGTCCATCCGGGTTCGAGTGCCACACCCACGTCACGAATGCGTGGTCAGTGTGCTGTGCGGAGAACGTGGACCCTGCCTCTCCGGTCCCTGTTAGACCTGTGTCACGTGAGTACTCTCAGATCTTAATACCTGTTTCCATATGCATTATATTTATCTTGCAACAATTTTACGCAAATACACGAAAGTCACCGTACATTATGAAGAAATAATATCACAATTAACGCAAAGAAATTCTGTATTAATTTCGTAGTGAAATACATTATACATTTTGCCATTTTACTGCCTGTAGAGTTCCTTACTTCATGTCTGTAACCTCTGATGCTAGATTATTTTGCAGCTTACTGTCTGCCGATTTCGTTGCTTGTTTATTCGGCCATTTGTTGTCTGTAACTTTAATTGCAAATATATTTGGCAACGACTTTTATCTGTTTGTAATTTTCGTTGCTTGTTTATTTGGCCACTTGCGCCCGCAGGTCAGGGATTGAGAAAAGTATTTGCACCAGCAGTTTACCTCTGCATTTTGTAGAAGGCAACTTATATGGGGAACCCCCTGCAGAATTTGGAATTTCTATTTTTGCCCTCTACTTCCGGAACTAAGGGCGACCAAAATAAATCTAGTTTACCCATATATTTTCTCTCTCTTCCCCCTAGCAACATATTGTTTCTAGAGGCATTGCTTGGTGGAATAATGTGCTGGGTGCTTTCGGCATGGTATTTCAGTCAAGTAGCACTACAAAGTCGTCATAGATCGGCTCTATCGTAAGGAGGTATACACCAACATACCCCGACTCCAGCAAATATACACACAAGCACACATACATCACACACACGGAGGCACGTCCTTACATGACCTTAGCTGCTATATAATAGTATGACGTTCCCAAGCCGAGATATGCCAAAGTTCTCGAAAATGGTAGTTGTTATTCTCTGCTAAATAACTGGCTATAACAAAAACTAATTAGCTCTTTGTCATGATAATGTGACCGGTAGCATATTGTGCTAGGTGTTTTCAGCATGTTGCAGATCACGTGGTTCCCCATAATGTGCATGTTTTGACGTCAGACGGCGCTGTCAAGGTGAAGGGAGACATCTGTCTATCTCACACTATGAATATATTTGTATTTCCACTTGTTTGTCCCCTAGCATCCTCGATGCGTCCTAAAAGGACGAAATAGCTGTACAATGTAGGATGCAATGTAATACTTTTTTTTTTGTCAAACTGTATGTGTTACCAACTCTTAAAGGGGCAATCACCACCTGTGTTACGTTCATCTTTAGAGATTTTCAGTTTCCTTGACGGCAACAGTTTTCTCTTTTGAGTAGTGGCACAGTTCATAATATACACATTTATATACACAAACACACACGCATACACACTCTCTCTCTCTCTCTGTCTCAACAGAGGTTAAGACAATTTGGATTTTTTGTTTTGCCCTTAGCATCACCGATGAGTTCTATAAGAACGAAACAGTGTCGTACGTTCATCATTTTGATATGGGTTAATGTTACATATTCATTTCCATAGGTCATTATGCACTGATGACGTCATCTTCCTTTGTGATATGTCATCCGTTTAAAATATGATATTTGATTTAAATTCGTACAGCCGCCAAATGCAGTAGACGAAATGTCCAGCCCTGCTGTACCATTGGACGACCCATACAGGGGATCGACTGCCGGGCACAGAGCTGTCCTTTTGGCTACATTTGTTCTAGACACGTGATGGGGTCGTGGGCAGTTTGTTGTACTGGACTCGGGTAAGTATCATCTCATACATTTTGTTTGCTGTACGTACCCGGATGTTACACAAGTAAGAGCCCGGATGATGTAAGACACTCGGGGCGTTTTCAGATATCAAAATAACAGCGCGTGTGAGCTGGTATACTGGTATCCTGGTATATGACTGCTTAATCTGTACAAAATACGATGCCAGTAACCAGAGTAAATAAGAAACTAAACGAAATCTGAGTGTAGTGCTAGTAATTAGTTCTCCAGTGTCGTACATATATACTTAAATGTAATAAATTTATTACAAAAGTAATATCAAATGTTATAACAGATTCGTTTACGTTATCTTGACTTTTATCAAATGCTTGTGTAATTTCGGTAAACTCGATGTTTTGAAATATTCGCATAAATATACTTGACTGTTACTAGATTGGCGTAAGTTTACTGGAATGTAATCAAAGACTTACGTAAACAATATGGTTATCAACAACTCATGGAAGTAATGAAAATAAACTTGAATCCCATAAATAACTCTTGTAAGTGTGCCGTTTTTTGAGTGGTATAAGACATTCGTATACATTCACTTTTCTGGATGTTAAGAGAAATCCAAATCAATCCAGGTAGTAAAAGAGACCCCGCTTCATATTTTCTGTTGAATAAAATGTAGATGATCTGCACATTTCAGTAAACGTTTGTCTCCAAATTTGATCTCCCCCACTCGATCTTTTCGGCATCTCTCCCAACAAACAACTTTACCTCTAAAACAATTACGTTATCCACTAGGGTCAGCATAGGCGGACTCATTAATGAACAATATCATTAGGTTGATATAATCATTTGTTTCCCAGATGTTCAGTTTAATGATCCCTGTCCCACTGCACTGTGGTTTTTCCTATATATACAGTAACATCCACTTAAATTCCTCTTGTATATAACTGTAGCATAGTTGGGCTGGGATATTTCCATTGACCAGGTAGCTCAAACGGTTAGAGCAACAGTAAAACAATCTGAAGTCCAGGGTTCGAATCTCGGTGAAGCCATGTTGGAGTTTTACACAAAGAACTCTGATGTTGGTTTCATTTTGTTTATTTATTCTTTGTTATTTCGACATGAAAGGCCCGCAATGTATGATTTTCCTTTAGAAATGATTTATCAAAGCTATACCATGCCGGGAAAAATAGTTTCCAATGAACAGTTATGATATTTGGGAACGGGGATCCTTAAATGATACCAGGTTGCTCAAATCAATTAAAAAATTATTTCAGCTTACCCGGATGTTCAGGTTTATTAACATCCGGGTTCTAAACTAAGCACCACCAAATATCCCAACTGAGTTATCTTTCTTTTTCTATTTCAGAGCGTCCTAAGCACCAATGGTCGAGAAATCTCTCCACATTTTGGACGTGTTTTGTTTTTTAGGTTAAAATAAACTGTCTATTCATTTAAGTTCTTTAGCTGTTGGTATGTACGTCATAAATTCCATCAAATACTTCTTATTTGTTTTTACACTTTTATGCTTGCACAATATTTGTATGTCTTTCTGCAAATGGAAATAGCTTTCGAACAATCTTTGGTAGACAATATCAGTTACTTCATACTGGGAAAATTTCGCCCAGTCAAACTTAGCCCTTCACCAGAATACTTCGTATTCGCCAAGTGTTAATTTCGCCCTTCACATTAAATTACTATGCATATAATTTTGTTTACTAATGTTCGCTGTAATGATAAATTCGCCCTTAATACGGAGGGCAAAATAAAACTGCAGCGAAAATTTACCGGTATACAGTACACATTTATTAAGCGGCCAGTCCCTTCAGAGGAGACTTGTGTGGTGCGTAATTAAAGTTCGATTAAATGTTGAATATCCTATAAAGGAAAACGACGCCTTCGTACAGAAATAAATAAATATAGTTCTCAGTCTGTTTTTAAAATTCACACAATATATCTCAGTGATATTGTCAATACTGATTTATTGAAAACTATTGTAGCCCAAGAATACGCATATAATTCATGGTTACTGTAAGTAACTCCGTGTACAAGTTTGGCGCTATAGGTGTTAAGGGGCTTCAATTTGCTATATTCTGGCGCCGACTCGCTCTCCTACCATTCCCAGAGTTATCTCCCGTCTTACAAAAATGTTACCCGTTTATGATTCTTCTTCAGTCACTCCTTAGGTAATGACGGATATGACGTACAAGCAAACAATAATATGACGTTATGGGACAAATCATATATGACGTCACAATCAGGTCTGGACGGGAAAGGTCATATACAAATCAGAATAAAAACAGATACAAAAATACTAAAAACCATTTTTTCAGCATAATAATTTCATTGGCATATTTACCCAAATCGTCTCCAAACCGCTAGTAACATATTGTAACGCTTACCCAGCAGAACGTTTGGCATAAATTTATCGTGTTGGCAGGAGGATATTGACAGATATTTGAGATATATTAATTTATATTTGCAATGTGTCTTTGTCGAAATTATCATACAAAGAAAATTATCTATCTGAAAGAATGTTTTCTTGTAAAACAGGAAAAATTACCAATTCCGAAATTTGTCAAGTTGTTGTTTTTGACGTACATTTTGCATAAATTGAACCTTTGATGACGTAAAATATTAAATTACTAAACATGTTATGAAATTATTTTGTCCTAATGAAAATGTGTGTTTACTGAATAGAATGAAACACTTTTCACTTTTGTGAAGGGGTCAATAATGAAAAAATCCCACTACACTTATCAGTTTCCATAAAAAGTCCCACTTAGGCGACGTAACGGGAATAACGTTGGGCAACATTTAGAGTGTCAAATATCAGTAGAAATTGTAAGGCCATTATATTATTTCGAATTCAGTTTAATACATGATTACAATTTTTGAAACACTACGCTTATATTAGAATTGTAGAAATACAGTAAAAATTACAGATATCTGACGTTGATACTTATTCTCTGTTTGTATCATTAGGAAACGATTTTGAGAATATAACACTATCCCCACAACCACATCTATCTTCCCCTCCTAATTCCGGTCAATTTTTAAACTTTATTTATTTCACAACAATTATGAAAAAATGGTAATCAGCTCATGTTGATAATTTTTCTTTGTCCGCACGGTAGCGTACAATGGGTCATACAAAATAACGAAAAAATATGATAAAACGTCGTTATTTTACGTTACACAAGGTGTCACCAACATCGCACGTAACGTCTCAGCATTCAGTATTGGTGATTGGTATTGTGACGCCAGACACGACGCCCCACTTGATTACATCCTAATGTCGGACTGACTACTCACTTCGTTATATTGTTATATTTACCAGTGTATGGCATTGCCACTATATAACCCTACGAAATTAAGTTGGCAATCATATAGGCTATGAATGCCATGGACCAATTGTTGACGTCATCATTATTATAACGTCATAATTGTTACGTTGGATACCACTGACCCTCTCTGGGCGATGGCTGTTCTATTCATTGCAAAAACACGATACATACATTATATGAACTAAATACTGAATGATAATGAAAGTAATTGAATTTTCTATAAGATGAACAGATTCCAAAAATGGTAAATAGAAGTATTGAACTGCTTTCAGTTGGCATTCATAGGCGATATGAATTCCAACTGGACAAAGGCAAATCAAACATAAAGCGCTAGCCAACTGAAAACAGGTCAATGCTTAAATGACGCCAACAAAGTCACAATATTACTTCAGCAGATAAATGGCTCCCAACTTACATCCGTATCAGGTCATATCACATTGTTCTGACACCGAACACCGTACCATCCCAAAACAGCCATATATTTTGTGTCGCTTGACACTACACGTGCCTTACTCTGTCATTCTTACCGGCATCAAGTCAACTGTAAAGCTACCTGTTAAATATAATACAAAGTATTGAGGCAGGAACGTACACTGTATGATTTCATTATGTCAACAACATCCAAAATAATACATTAGAGTTGCCTCTCTTCGTTCCTACTACCACCCGCTGTGATGCAGCAGCTGAAGCAAGCGTGTGCCCCCCTTTCACGAATCGAACGCCATGGTGACAATACGGCTCACTGTCAGCCCACAACACCGACAGGCACCGGCGATCGATCGCTCTAGTGATCGAGGAGACACGTACAAGCCTCGGTTCCCCGGAACGCACGTGCATTACAATGTATGGAGTAGCGGAACTTTCAAGTCCTAGTTTCATCTCTCTGTCAAGTATAATGCAGTTTTCTTAGAAATGGAATTACTATCGTTGATTAATTGATTGCTATCGCAGCTGACGGAAAGTATGTGCTTGGTGTGGCTTGGCAGCAGAACATTTGTGTATTTATACCAATGTCTGAAGATCGGGTTATCCTAGAGAGGGCGACACCAAATGTAAGCAGATTTATTCAGTGTTGTTGTGTCTGTGATTTACGTACAACGCGAGCTGTGATGGCGTCGAGATCGTCAACCGGGATTTTGTCGTCTGCTCATTTGGCGCCAAATCTACCGGATTTCCAGCCATGACAGTGGAGATCCAGCACTGGAGTGAAGGTAGGTATTCAACGTCACATCATGTGTGTCAAACGCGTCACATCACGTGTTTTAAATATGGCGTCATTGTTTAATAATGCTACGTGTGCCTCGTACCATGATACCGTAATGTTGTGTGTTAGTCCTGTGTGTGGTCTGTAACGATACAAAAGTAGTATTGGTGTTGTTGAATTGCGTCATAATAAAGACACTGAGAGGATACGTAACTAGATTAGATCACTGCCAAACATACCAGCGCTCTACATTTACCGACCAATCAGCATTCTGTAGAGTTAGTACAACCTTAAACAGCAATATAAACAGTCGTGTAGTCTTACAATTGGCTTTTATAACATGCTTTGTAGGGAGCTTTGTCAATGCCAAATATTCATAGCTAGTCTTAGAAACATGTATATAGGTTAACCTGTCAATGTAGGTAAATACACATATGTTTAAAAATCTAAGTAAATACAACAGAGAAAGCCAATCGACATGATTATATCAGGTAAAACCTATTTACTTATAACAGAACTCGGAACAACCTACATATAACATATAAAACCTACCTCAAAGTCTACTTACAGATATCAGGTAAAACCTACCTACATATATCAGTTAAACCTACCTACATATATCAGGTAAACCTACCTACATATATCAGGTAAACCTAACTACATATATCAGGTAAACCTACCTACATATATCAGGTAAACCTACCTACATATGTCAAAAAAATATTATATACATACTCAGGTAAACTTACCTTGATATATCAGGAAAACCTACCTACATATATCAGGTAAACCTAACTACACATATCAGGTAAAACCTACCTACATATATCAGGTAAACCTACCTGCATATATCAGGTAAACACACCTACATATATCCGGTAAAACCTACCTACATATATTAGATAAACCTACCTTCATATATCAGGTGAACCTACCTACATATATCAGGTAAACCTAACTACACATATCAGGTAAAGCCTACCTACATATATCAGGTAAACCTAACTACATATATCAGGTAAACCTAACTACACATATCAGGTAAAACCTACCTACATATATCAGTTAAACCTACCTACATATATCAGGTGAACCTACCTACATATCCTACATATATCAGGTAAACATACCTACATATATTAGATAAACCTACCTACATATATCAGGTGAACCTACCTACATATCCTACATATATCAGGTAAACATACCTACATATATCAGGTAAACCTACCTACATATATTAGGTAAACCTACCTACATATATTAGATAAACCTACATGCATACATCAGGTAAACCTACCTACATATATTAGATAAACATACCTACATATATCAGGTAAACATACCTACATATATCAGGTAAAACCTACCTACATATATCAGGTAAACACACCTACATATATCCTGTAAAACCTACCTACATATATCAGGTAAACCTACCTGCATATATCAGGTAAACACACCTACATATATCCGGTAAAACCTACCAACATATATCAGGTAAACCTACCTGCATATATCAGGTAAACACACCTACCTATATACGGTAAAACCTACCTACATATATTAGATAAACCTACCTACATATATCAGGTGAACCTACCTACATATCCTACATATATCAGGTAAACATACCTACATATATCAGGTAAACATACCTACATATATCAGGTAAACCTACCTACATAAAAAAGGTAAACCTAACTACATATATCAGGTAAACCTAACTACACATATCAGGTAAAGCCTACCTACATATATCAGGTAAACCTAACTACATATATCAGGTAAACCTAACTACACATATCAGGTAAAACCTACCTACATATATCAGTTAAACCTACCTACATATATCAGGTAAACCTACCTACGTATATCAGGTAAACCTAACTACATATATCAGGTAAACGTACCTACATATATCAGGTAAACCTACCTACATAAAAAAGGTAAACCTAACTACATATATCAGGTAAACCTAACTACACATATCAGGTAAAGCCTACCTACATATATCAGGTAAACCTAACTACACATATCAGGTAAAACCAACCTACATATATCAGGTAAACCTAACTACATAAATCTGGTAAACCTAACTACACATATCAGGTAAACCCTACCTACATATATCGGGTAAACCTAACTACAAATATCAGGTAAGCCTACCTAGAGAAATCAGGTAAAACCTACCTACATATATCAAGTGTACCGCCCTACATTTATCATGTAAACCTTCTTACATATATCAGGGGAAAACCCTACCTACATATATCAGATAAACCTACCTACAAATATCAGATAAACCTACCCACATATAATAGGTAAACCTACCTACATATATTAGATAAACCTACATGCATACATCAGGTAAACTTACCTACATATATTAGATAAACCTACCTACATATATCAGGTAAACATACCTACATATATTAGATAAACCTACCTACATATATCAGGTAAACCTAACTACATATATCAGGTAAACCTACCTACATATATCAGGTAAACACACCTACATATATCCGGTAAAACCTACCAACATATATCAGGTAAACCTACCTGCATATATCAGGTAAACACACCTACCTATATACGGTAAAACCTACCTACATATATTAGATAAACCTACATGCATACATCAGGTAAACTTACCTACATATATTAGATAAACCTACCTACATATATCAGGTAAACATACTTACATATATTAGGTTAACCTTCCTACATATATCAGGTAAAACCTCCCTACATATATCAGGTAAACACACCTACATATATCCGGTAAAACCTACCAACATATATCAGGTAAACCTACCTGCATATATCAGGTAAACACACCTACATATATTAGATAAACCTACCTACATATATCAGGTGAACCTACCTACATATATCAGGTAAACCTACCTACATATATCAGGTAAACATACTTACATATATTAGGTTAACCTTCCTACATATATCAGGTAAAACCTACCTGCATATATCAGGTAAACACACCTACCTATATACGGTAAAACCTACCTACATATATTAGATAAACCTACATACATATATCAGGTAAACCTACCTACAGATATTAGATAAACCTACCTACATATATCAGGTAAACATACTTACATATATTAGGTTAACCTTCCTACATATATCAGGTAAAACCTACCTACATATATCAGGTAAACACACCTACATATATTCGGTAAAACCTACCTACATATATCAGGTGAAACCTTCATACTTATATCAGGAAAACCTACCTACAAATATCAGGTAAACCTACCTACATATATCAGGTAAACCTACCTACGTTTATCAGGTAAACCTACCTTCATATATCAGGTAAACCTACCTACATATATCAGGTAAACCTACCTACATATATCAGGTAAACCTACCTGCATATATCAGGTAAACCTATATACATATAGCTGGTAAAACCTACCTACATATATCAGGTAAATCTACCTACATATATCAGACCGGTAAATAACTGGTCATGTCGGCTGCTTACGTTATACGTTGTTTGGTCAAGTTGGACAATATTGATGTATGCAGTATATCTTGGTTTATATATTAGTATTATTATCATACACTCGATCAAGTCTTAATTGATTATACTATTTTATTTGTAAATACCAGAATTTTACTTAAATACGTAGCTAGTGAAGTTTGTTTCATCTCTCATATAATACTATGTAAACCATTAAGAACAAACGGATGTTTTAAATTTAGAAAATGGTAGAAATCTTTCAGACAAAAATTCAATGCATTCTTCGATTTCATAACATCATTAGTTGAATTTGTTCCAAAACTAGAATCTAGACAATAGAAGGTCAAAACTTCAGATATGACCAAAATGCGAATGTGTTTTTATCTGAAATTGGAAATGATTATGTATTATGTTTGCTTGCTGTAGAACTATTGATTTCATAATTGATTTAGCATTACATAAAACAAATACAACAAACAAAATGCTGAAATCTGTGCGAAGCATTAATTAGGGGGTTGGGTGGGGTGGAGGGGATATCACTAACAAATTAGGCCTGCAAGATGTCAAAATAACAAATAAACAAACAAAAACCAGGAAAATAATCGATCCGTTACGTATGATTTGACGCTGTGTACTGGAAGGAGGGAAAGTCGGTACGTCGGAAGTGGAAAGTCGGTCATGTGGGACATGGGGTGGGTGCGGTGTTTACGGTCGCGGCCACGTTTTCAGTGTGGGGGAGAGGGTAGGAGGTACGTACGCGTAGGATAGAGGTAGTCTTCGGAGGGGCGTTGGTGTTATGTGTAAGGTGAAGTGTGTGTAGTACATGTTAGGATGAGATCGATAATCAGCATACAGGAGCAGTGTAAATTACCCTTAAGATATCGATCCAACCTTACGTACCTTCACTTTTATAAACACTCATTAATTTTCTTGCAGTATTCGCGTTATATATTATGTGTGCAAGTTTTAAACTGCTGATCTGATGTTGCGCAGTATTTGGAAGATTATAGTGATTTGTTTTCCCAACAGTGAATTGGTTACTCGCTTCCTCTAGCTGTGACAGTTGAGGTATTATTAACCCTCATGGTTTTAACAGCGTGTCTGATTGGAAGATACTGGTCACATGACGGGATAATATAACATCATTTCACCCTCACGCGCCTCATGTCACGGATAAAGGACACACCTGCTGTTACCCAATGCATGTATCGTAGGAGGCGACTAATGTGAGGAACCCCCATGCAGAATTAGGGATTAGCTTTGGTGCCCTCTATTTGGGTACACAAAAGCGACCAAAATAAATCAGCTGCGCCCATTGCAATATTTGTGATCTTTATCGTTCTTTCTACTTCTAACTACCTTTTATTTGTTAACGCCTTGCTTGGCAACACCTCACTTTTGGCTTGAATGTTGAGCGTTCACCAAAATGAGGAAGGCATTGGGTTCTATCCCAAGGCTTGGACATACCAAAGTCTTTAAAAATAGTAGTTGTTATTCCCTGCTTAACGTTC